CAGGGACCACAGGGTCAGGTCAGAGGACACACAGGCCAACTCGAGCAGGGTCCCATGGGTCCAAGCTGAGAGAATCGGAACGTCAGTAAGATAACAAGTGCATTAAAAAACACCAGGATGCTTGAATCTATCAGTCTGTAATGATATGTGTATTTTAAAATCTCATCTGTCACCTTGGGAGAATGATAGGAAAGCAACTTGGTATTCTGAAAAGTAATAAAGGGAGAGAAATAGGCATTTACCTGGTGTTTTTTACGCAAGCCTCAAGGTAATAAGTAGCTGAAGAGAAGTCTTTCTGCATATAAGCAACACAGAGAAAAAATGAGAAAGGAAGACAGGATTCAAGCATCATCATTCTGGGACCCTCCCCACACTGGCAGAGTCAGCCCTGCTCCTTATCAGCACTGTGCACTACCCAGCGCCCAGCTGGCTACCCTGTGCCTCCTCATGGGGTCACACTACCAAGGAGATGGGGCTTTTCACAAAAATTGAACTTCACTCTGACCACGCTTGGAATCCACCAAACATAGACAGTAGAGCGCGAGGGAGTGTGTCACAGGGACCACTGAGCTACAAGCAAAAACCTAGATCCCAACAAACTGCTGGGCAAAGAACCTGGCTTCTCCTTCAAAGATAAAATATGAACAATGATGGGATATTGGATATCAATAACTTATTGTTCATTGTTACTTAGATATGATAATGGTATTACTGATGTTATTAAAATAACCACCTTTTAGAGATGTAGGGCCAGGGAGATGGCTCAGTAGAATAAGTGCTTGCCTGGCAAGTGCGAGGGCCCGAGTTCAATCCCCGGCTCCACAAAAAAACAAAAACAGAAACAAAAAACATAGAGATATATAGAAATATTTATAGGTGGTGAACTGATGCTTTTTGAGTTTAGAGTCAAATATCTGAGGGAAAGGAATAGGTGGGAGAATAGATTAAGTGGCTATTAAACTTAAAGGATGTATACCTATGAATGTCCATTTTGTATCTGTGTATTCAAAGTTGTTGGGATAGATATATAGTTGCATTCTCTTAATGAATAGAATGATTTGTTCTAATGGTGTTTGTAAATAGGATCACAAGTCTGCATCTTGTACAGCAATTAACCACTAAGAAGAATATATGCAGTGTATTATTTGTTGAAACTGTATTCCGATTTGATTTGAAACTGTCTCATTGCTATCTGTTTATCAATAAAATTTTGGAAAAAAAAAAAAAAGAACAGAGAAAAAAAAATAAAAAAAAAAATAAATTTAAAGGATGTCCCAATAGCCAACTATATGACAATCTGAGCAATAAAATAATGATAAAAATAAATTGTAGGGGCTGGTGAGATGGCTCAGTGGTCTAAAGCACCTACTTAGAACAAGCTTAGCAAAGCACAGGGACCGCGGTTCGATCCTCCAGCACCACATGCCAGCCAGCCCCGCCCCCTGGTGGGCTGAGCTGGCCACACACACACACACACACACACACACACACACAAATAAATAAATTTTAAAAAAATAAATTGTAACTCATGCAATACAATAAATACCCTTAATCTATGCTGCTATAAGCAAGTACACAAATGAACTAAAAAGGTTGGTTCTTCCTTTACAGTAAAGAATGATGGAAATAACAAAATGCCATTTGGAAAACATCACAGTAACGATTGGTCTAAGAAAGAATTACCAACGGAAGCTCAAATTAGGAGGGGAAAAATGATGAGAAAGAGGATGTCCTCATAGCATCAAAGTATTTTCCTTCAAGATCTTTATTAACTTTCATCCACCATCTGTGGTGGAACTGCTGCCAAGATGCAGATTTTCGTGAAAACCCTCACGGGGAAGACCATCACGCTCGAGGTTGAACCCTCGGACACTATAGAAAATGTAAAGGCCGAGATCCAGGACAAGGAAGGAATTCCTCCTGATCAGCACAGGCTGATCTGTGCTGATAAGCAACTGGAAGATGGCCGGACCTTGCCTGATTACAACATTCAAAAGGAGTCTACCCTTCTATCTTGTGCTGAGACTCCACGGTGGTGCTAAGAAGAGAAAGAAGAAGTCTTACACCACTCCCAAGAAGAATAAGCATGAGAGAAAGAAGGATAAGCTGGCTGTCCTAAAATACTATAAGGTGGATGAAAATGGCAAAATTAGTCGTCTTCGTCGCGAATGCCCCTCAGGTGAATGTGGTGCAGGAGTTTTTACGGCCAGCCACTTTGACAGACATTATTGTGGCAAGTGTTGTCTGACTTACTGCTTCAACAAACCAGAAGACAAGTAATTAT